TCCTGCTGTCGAAACAAACTCGTCTTACCGACATTGTCTTTCTGAAAACTGATGTGATCAGATTAAACATTGCTGGAGTTTGTAGCGTTCTCAGATAAATTAGACGTCACATAGTCATTGTACTTAAGCTTCAGGTCAGACACGAGGTACAGTTCTGGTAAAACATTCTCCTGCTCCAGTTAAAAGGTCCGTATCAATACCTGCACTCATTAATGGGGGGGGGGGGGGGGGGGGGGTGTCACGTCCGTCTATGTCCGCTTGTCTCATAGAATCCAAAAAGGACAGGACATAGGCGGGCATAGGCGGACATAGGCGGACATAGACGGACAAAGGCGGACATAGGCGGACATAGACGGACATAGGCGGACATAGGCGGACATAGACGGACATAGGCGGACATAGGCGGACATAGGCGGACATTAAGGGGGCCGGGGGGGGGTCTTCATCAAAATTCTCTCGAAATTGACTTTATAGTTGTTTCTGGTAGAAGGGAGCGATATCTACGAGCTGCTTTTGGTCCCATGGAAAAATATTATTCCTAGCCGAAATTATCGCCGGTCTAAGGTCAGCGCTTATGTGTAATTGTATTGCGCGAGCGATTTTCAATCGCAAATTCTGAAAATCGAGTCTAAAAATCTATCTTCTCCTACATTTTTTGAGCAATTACACTGAAACTTTCAGGATATGTTCTAAGGACCATTTAGAAGAGATCTTTCAAGCCAAAATTTTGAGATAGGCCTTTAAAAAATTTTTATTCAATTTTGAAAATCTTGGACCTCGTTTTTTTACGATTTTTTCAGGTCGAAGATTTTCAAAAATTAATAAAAAAATTTTAAAGGCCTATCTCAAAATTTTGGCTTGAACGATCTCTTCTAAATGGTCCTTAGAACATATCCTGAAAGTTTCAGGGTGATTACTCATAAAATGTAGGAGAAGATAGATTTTTAGACTCGATTTTCAGAATTTGCGATTGAAAATCGCTCGCGCAATACAATTACACATAAGCGCTGACCTTAGACCGGCGATAATTTCGGCTAGGAACAATATTTTTCCATGGGACCAAAAGCAGCTCGTAGATATCACTCCCTTCTACCAGAAACAACTATAAAGTCAATTTCGAGAGAATTTTGATGAAGACCCCCCCCCCCCCCGCGGCCCCCTTAATGCCAATGGACACCTAAATTGCTAAATAAAATGTTCAATTTTTGCTGTTATAGGGGGATCATGTTTTTTGTCCGTTCGGTACCCTATATTTTCAAAACGGACAAAAAATAGAGCGGACAAAAACGGACAAAAATGGACAAAAACGGACAAAAATGGAAATAACATTTAGATGCTTCCTCCTCCTACTCTTCCTCCTCCTCCTCTTCCTCCTCAGTCCTCAGTCCTCCTCAGTCCTCCTCCTCATCCTTCTCCTCAGTCCTCTATCCTCCTCCTCAGTCCTCCCCCAGTCCCCCTCCTCCTCCTCCTATTCAGTCCTTCTCCTCCTCCTCTTCCCTCTCAGTCATCCTCCTCAGCCATCCTCCTCAGTCCTCCTCAGTCCTCCTCAGTCCTCCTCCTCAGTCCTCCTCCTCCTGGATCCTCCTCCTCCTCTTCATCCTCCTCCTCTTCCTCCTCGGTCCTCAGTCCTCCTCCTCATCTTTCTCATCAGTCCTCCTCCTCCCCAGTCGTCTCCCAGTCCCCCTCCTTCTCCTCCTCCTATTTAGTCCTCCTCCTCCTCCTCAGTTCTCCGAAGTCCTCCTTCTCATTTCTCCTAAGTCCTCCTCCTGAGTCCTCCTCCTGAGTCCTCCTCCTCTTCCTTCTGAGTCCTCCTCCTGAGTCCTCCTCCTCCTCCCTCTCAGTCATCCTCCTCAGCCATCTTCCCCAGCCTTCCTCCTCAGCCATCCTCCTCAGTACTCCTCAGTCCTCCTCCTTCTCAGTCATCGTCAGTCCTCCTCCTCAGTCCTCCTCAGTCCTCCTCCTCCTCCTCCTCCTGGGTCTTCCTGATCCTCCCCAGTCCTCTTCCTCCTCCCCTCCTCAGTCCTCCTCCTACTCTTCCTCCTCGTCCTCAGTCCTCCTCGTCAGTCCTCAACAGTTCTCCTCCTCCCCAGTCCTCCTCCTCCTGGGGCCTTTTCCTGGGTCCTCCTCCTGGGTCCTCCTCCTCCTGGGTCCTCCTCCTCCTGGGTCCTCCTTCTCCTCCTCAGTCCTTCTCCTCCTCCTCCTCAGTCCTCTTCCTCCTCTTCCTCCTCCTCCTCCCTCTCAGTCATCCTCCTCAGCCATCCTCCTCAGCCATCCTCCTGAGTCCTCTTCCTTCTCAGTCCTCCTCCTGAGTCCTCCTCCTCTTCAGTCATCCTCCTCAGTTCTCCTCCTCCTCCTCCTAGGTCCTCCTTCTGGGTCCTCCTCCTCCTCCTCCTCCTGGGTCTTCCTGATCCTTCTCCTCCCTCTCAGTCATCCTCCTCAGTCATCCTCCTCAGTCATCCTCCTCAGCCATCCTCCTCAGCCATCCTCCTCAGCCATCCTTCTCAGCCATCCTCCTCAGTACTCTTCAGTACTCTTCAGTACTCTTCAGTCCTCAAAATGTTTGTCCGCTAATGTCCACCAATGTCCGCTAATGTCCACCAATGTCCATCCAAGTCCGCCAATGTCTGTGTCCGCCAATGTCCGTCCGAGTCCGCCAATGTCCGTCCGAGTCCGCCAATGTCCGTCCGTGTCCGCCAATGTCCCAAAAAACACGTCTGTTGTCTCATAGAATCCAAAAAGGACAGGACATAGGCGGACATAGACGGACATGACCCCCCCCCCCCCCATTAATGCAGCATTGGTGTTGGCGTGCGTGGACACGTGTCTTTCCATTTTAAAACCTGCCTTAGAGACAGGTTTTAAACTTACAGCTTCAGATAATTTACCCTTCAATTGTTTCACCCTCGAGTTGCTGTACCTCAAACGACATGTTTTGTGATATCTACCTAGCTTGCTATAGAGATATTTTCCGAGACTCTCAGGGTTAAGAACAGGGCACTTGTTCATGTGCGAATCAGGATTAACATCGATGTTGCACAGATCCTGACGATTTCTGTAGATGTCCACAGATAGTATGTTGCGAAATCGACGAAGAAACTATTATCTTTTCCTTGAATCAGACTATCCTTTTTCGTTTCTAACGTCTAGGGAAATTCGTATTGTTAAAGAAGAATAACCTCTCATACTCTTAAAATTAAATCGAGATAATATGTATAATAATTATATTTGCGAGCAAAAGTTTCACACAAACCTGTTCAACCTGGCATATGAAACACAAGTCTCAGTCCATTTCAAACAAATCAACATCTGGTCCACTTGATTTGGAACTAAATGAAGAAAGTCTCCACATTTTCTTAGTTCTATTCGAGGAGGGTGACAAAGGCGGGACTTTTTCCACTTGGATGGCAATAGCTTCTTCAATCTTCATCACAAGAGGATTCGTCAATTTCAGAAACAGCACTGTACACCTGCAAATACTTTATTACTTCCCACATTTATATCAACAGTATCATATCACATAAGTTTGAGATCGTACAAGTGTTATATCATTTTAAAAGTTTGCAAATCCGATAGAAATGGATTAAAAATTACTACTCGCTGTCTATTTACCTTTGAATAATAATGTTTTTCAGGAGGTGACCGGGACATGATTTCAGGCCTGACCGGGACCGGGATACAAAATGTGACTTGATCGGGACCGGGACCGGGATAGCTCAAAATTGAGATTATCAATTTACCGGGACCGGGACCGGGATGAAAAATGTGACTTGACCAGGACCGGGACCGGGATAGCTCAAAATTGCCAATCCCGGTACCGGAAATTTCGGTCGATTACTGGTTAATTCATGATCATAATTTATTACTCAAACTTGTTAAGCAATTTTAAACATTGTTGTATTTGGCTCAGAGGATGTTTAAAGATGAAATTCACAATGAATGAAAGGAAAAACTTAAAATCACAGTGAATGAAATTATGTAAAAGATCCCGGTCAAAATCCCGGCAAATTTGAGTGATTGACCGGGACCAGGACCGGGACCGGGACCAAGAATCCCGAATTAACCGGGACCGGGACTGGGACCGGGATCATAAATAAATAAATCAGCATAATAAATTATCTCGGCTTCTGATTGAGATACAGACCTCAATTATGAACCAAAATGTGCGTAAGATGCATGTTTATATTAGTGCTATGTAGTTTAAGGCCTAAGAGACTTAGTTTTTGAGAAATCGCCAAAAATCCGATTTTACTATATAATTAGCAGTCTCGTGAGTAACAATTATTACACTTATTTCAAGATATCTCAGCTTCTGATTGGAGCTAAACGCTCATCTTAGGCATGAAAATGGTTAGAATCATCATATTGAGTGGGGTAGAGCATGGTTTTAAAGTCTGCAGACTTCAGGTTGTTGAGTTATTAGGTCAGATCCCATTTTTACACTCTCGCGAGTAGCGATTGATGCACTTATTTCAAGATATCCCAGCTTCTGATTTGATCTAAGCGCTCATCTTGGGCATTAAAACGGTCAGAATCATCATATTGAGTAGGGTACGGTAGAGCATAATTTTAAAGTCGTCAGACTTCAGGTTGTTGAGTTATTAGGTCAGATCCCATTTTTACGCTCTCGCGAGTAGCGATTGATGCACTTATTTCAAGATATCTCAGCTTCTGATTGGAGCTAAGCGCTCATCTTGGGCATTAAAATGGTCAATATCATCACATTGAGTGGGGTAGAGCATGGTTTTAAAGTCTTCAGACTTCAGGTTGTTGAATTATAAGGTTAAAACATAAAAATATGTTTTAACTGAAAAATGGGAACTTCAAATTTAAATTTTTGGCCAAAAATCTTGGGGGATCGCCCCCACCCCCTCCCCCTTACGACCCTTAAAACACATCGTATTGTATGTTGAAATCCTTAATTGTATAATATGATGCACACTACTGCATGAGTATTATATTATAATACAGAAAGTGCTAAACTGATGCAAATTTACAGGTATAATGTCCACAAACATTGGCGTAATTCTCAAAGATGTTCTTGACATGAAAATAGAAGAACTACCAGGAGGAGTACCTCAGCCTGAACCAGATCAGGTGTGTTTATCAATGGGACCAGTTGGGATCTGTGGTTCAGATGTACACTACTGGCAAACTGGTAGAATTGGGGATTTCATTGTCAAGGCTCCCATGGTTTTAGGACATGAATCTGCTGGGACTGTGTGTGCTATTGGAGGTGATGTGAAGCACCTTCAAGTTGGAGACAGAGTGGCCGTAGAACCTGGATATCCCTGCTACACATGTTCAGCTTGCTTGGGTGGAAGATATAATCTTTGTCCAGATATGAAGTTCTGTGCAACTCCCCCCTATGATGGGTCTCTTTGCCAGTATTACTGCCACAAAGCTGCATTTTGTTTCAAACTCCCTGACCATGTTTCCTTGGACGAAGGAGCTCTCCTGGAACCCCTTTCTGTTGCTGTTCATGCTTGCCAGCGTGGAAAGCTCTCTTTTGGACAAAAGGTTCTGGTATGCGGTGCTGGGCCCATTGGTCTTGTTAACATGATGGTTGCAAAAGCGGGTGGTGCTTCTGTTACAATCACTGATATATCTGAGAGCCGCCTTGCAAAAGCAAAGGAAATGGGCGCAGATGCAATATTTCATGTAACAAACCGAGACAGTCGTGAAACTGCTGAGGAAATTGTGAATCTGTCTGGATACTCTGATTTGACAATCGAATGTACTGGGGTTGAATCAAGCATCGGTACAGGTCTTTGGGCAACAAAACCTGGTGGTTCTTATGTCCAAGTTGGTTATGGAAAAGCGGAGGTTAATTTTCCAATTGTTGCTGTTGGTATTAGGGAAATTGATATCTATGGGATCTTCCGTTATGCTAATTGCTACCCAAAAGCTCTTGCATTAGTTGCCTCTGGAGCTGTCAATGTCAAAAGTCTCATAACCCACAGATTTCCACTAAAGGATGCTCTTAAGGCTTTTGAACTGACAAAAGCAGGCACTGGTGTCAAGGTTATTATCGATTGTGATAATTAGTGATTTTTGAGATACTCTCGTTTTACATCACACTTGAATTAAAGCATAAATATTTATATTAAAGATTATTGTAGAGATAATTTCACACTTTTTGTGGTAGTTTTTGTTTTTAAAGTTTCAGTTGTTAGACCGTGTGACCACTATGAATTATGTTTTTGATAATGAAATGAAATGAAATAAAGCATTTTTATCCCTTTTTATATTAAAAATCCAAATAAAAATAAAGATTGCCGATGTCAAAGCGGCTGGCCTATGAATATACCCCAAACTAAGATATTCAGTTCTTAAAAATTCAAAACCAAATTACTTATTGACATTAAAAGTTAGTATAGTAACGCTATAAAAATTAACTTAAGGATGTATATCATTAAACATTATTATAAATCGTTCACTCCAATACCTTGTCCTTCCAACAAATTTTACGACTTCTGATATAATAGTGTTTATCTGTGTCTTCTTGGGCAATCTGTTTCATCTCTAAGACCAACTGTTGATGGATAGTTCGTTCCTCTGGTGATTGGTCCGGAGAAATGAAACTTTAACGAAAATATAATACAAAATTGGTCACCAAATTGAATATGGGATACTCAGGAGGATTATTGGGACAAAATTGGAACATAGGTTAGATCGGTTCTAGACATGCAGTGATTCCCAAACTTGGTTTGAGTGGTCCAATATTAACTCTTTGCGACCAATATTAACTCTTTGCGACCAATTTTGAACCATTCTGAGCACCTTTGAGGAGAGTGTTTTTTCCCCGTTCATTTCCGTTCATTCCATGAACCTGGGTAATGTTATGCGACTTTTGATGTCTCCTAGGCCTAGCTTACGGCTATATCCATCTTAGAAAACCAAATTGAGGATTCCCAGCGCTCAAATAGGCCAATACTACGATGTTCCCAGTGGCGAAACTTTGCTTGTTGGCGCCCCCCCCGCTCAGTGACGAAAAGCGCCCCCCTAAAATTTTTTGTCCCTAAAAAAAAAAAAAAAAAAAAAAAGGTCGGGTACTTTTTTTCTCGCCCCCCCTACAGCTTTTTGCGCCCCCTGAAAAAAAGAGTACCCCAAATATTTTTTTCGCGTCGGCCGAACGCTAAATTGGACAGGGAAATACACAAACAAGGCGTTTTTTCAGTGAAAGGGCCTAAAATTCAGGAAAATTGCGCCCCCCTTATACGGCGCCCCCCCCCCCCGCACAGCGGGGTCTGCGGGGCCCTAAGTTACGCCACTGGATGTTCCCATGTTCCAAATTTATGGATTCATCTAATAAGTAGATGGCGCCCTATGTATGCTATGCAGTTTTGCTCTATCCGAGGTGTTCTAGCAAAATTGTAAGCGAAATTTTAAATAAGTCCCCCAAATGTCGCCCAAGGTTTATTCTCAAAATTGTGAGTGGTGTCCCCCAAATCGGATCAAAAATAGCGTAAAAGTTAGGTGTGTGAATAAATACACTTCGATAAGTTTGCTGTTATACAAACGGATTTTAATCAGAAACGAATTACAGCAACTTCGCAAGTATCGGATCAATTTAAAACATTCACATCCTACGTTCTTACATCTAAATCCTTCACCGAAACCAGTTTGACCACTTTTTATTACTAATACCTCGGTAACACGACTTCTGTCCAACAGCGACTCTTGTCCGGCAGCACTATTTTCTTGTGTTGTTTGAAGTGATATCTCTTTATGGAAAGTTTCAAGAAAATCGTATAGTAGGATCTGACATAATACCTCGTGCGTAAATTCACCTCGATAAGTTATACTGTAAACTGTTCGGAGAAGACTGTCCGAAGTTTTGTAAACAGAGACTGTCTGGAGAAGGCCTAGTTCACACAGAGACATGTCAAATGGTAAACAAACTTATTTATCGGGAAATATATGTATTGATAATTTATTACGTGCTTCCTGCAAACCTGATATAACAGCTGAAATCAAATGATTACACATATCGATCGAAAGTTAACCTTTAATGAACAGGTAGAAAAGATTGTACTATCAGGGTGCTGACTAATTACTAATACTATAGTTAAGTAATTTACAATTGCAAAAATAACTCCGGATGCGGATCAATTTAAAACATTCACATCCCACGTTCTTACATCTACACCCTTCACCAAAACCAGTTTGACCACTTTTCATTACTAATTGCCATATGAGAGCCATATAGAAAGATGGACTCGACTGTAGCCAGGAACAGTACCTCGAGATCTCAGCGTTACCGGACTTCCATATTATCTCCATCTTCTGGCATGGTGCCCAAGCCTGATAATAATACATATGCCCTTGTGCTTGCAGTAGCGCGCGCCCGCCTTTTTGTGAAACAAGCGCGCCCGCAGCGGCGCGAAAGCACATGGTTGATGGGGCCGGGTTGGGTCATGCGCTGCATGAATATGCAGCTATAATAATACTGCCGTTCCCTGAGAAAAGGCAGTATAGTAAGGTAATTTTACTCGCATAAAAGTGGTTAATTTTGACATTTATGCGTAAATAAATTATTTTCATTTGTCCTAAACATGTTCAAAAGCATAAATTCACCACCACTGATCGATAAATACCATTTTTCTCCAGAATAACTAAACTATTTTCCCATCCGGACTTACAGTTACTGCCTTTTCTGAGGTGTGAGGGAATTGCGGACTTACTGCCTTTTATCAGGATCGATTTCAACCGATTCCGCTCTAGAAAGGCAGTAAGTCCATTTTTCTCAGATAAAGTCAACACAAAAAATACAACATTTCTATATTTTTGATCATATCCTTGCAATATAATTATGTGGGCCTCTTCACTCTTGTGCATTGCAAGTGTGTAATATTGACGAAACATGGATAATTTCTCGCTCAAAATGCTTATAACTTCTTAAATATCGAATATTTTGGAATAATGTTTACAGCACCGTATTCAGCTCGGTCAGACGCATTAATTTGGAAAAAAAATATTTGGACATACAACATTTCACATTTAAAGCACCAAATTTTTCAAAAAATGTTTCAATAATTCACACAAGGGGGGACCCTTGTGTTCAGGTTCAAAAATTTAGAAAATAATATTTCTTTAAATTTTATAATATTAGAACCAAAATTGTTTGCTTGCTGAGCTGATTACGACCACATTATTTCGATATTACCGAAACTAGCTGTGGAAGTTATAGGCCAAAAACTATAAAACTGCAAATAAAGTCTGGACTTACTGCCTTTTCTCAGGGAAAAAGTTCCCTCACAGAAAAAGTTCCCTCAGAGAAGGCTGTACAAATGGACTTACTGCCTTTTCTCAGGGAAGATTTTGGGATAACGTGCTAAATTGTCAAGTTTTGTGTGACTTACTGCCTTTCGTGACAGCTAAAACAGTATTTTTATAACGTGATTCATAGCTTAAGTTGTAGAGAATCTTCTCCTGAAAATTTTGGTACCAATATCTCAAAATTTCGAAAAATGGACTTACTGCCTTTTCTCAGGGAACGGCAGAAAACTAGTACATAGTACTGTAAAATCCAATAAAAATGTTTGCCAAGTTAATCATTGTAATAATTCTGGTGAATTTTCCTTTAAAAAAATAATCTGCTTAATCTTTAAGCTTTCAGTGATGATCTTGCCGATATGATAGAACACGTAGTAGTAGTTATACACTGTATGAATGTACTAACGACTACTATTAAGTTACTGGGCGACGCCTGTAAGCCTGTCACTCCGACATTGGACATATCTTCGATGAGCACATCTACGCCTGGGTTCCTCAGGTATTAACTATTCGGTTGTTTTAAGAATTCTATCCCCGTTTAGTTTATGAAAGAATTGATTGATGTATGCATATTATTATTGTATTGCACAAGTCACAACTGCATGCACTGTAACATGTCAGATATTTGACCTATGACCTTTAACAGATAAATAAGTCTAACTCTAAGACTTTTTGTTGTACTTGTAGTACTAGTTAAAGCTGCAGTGGCGTAACATAACGTATTATTTTGCTGACATTTTTTGGCGTTATTCCTACAAAAATTTTACTAGGTCCTAAAAATATCGCTGGAGCTCTTTTGGGTCGTTCGCTTTTTGGACAATTTTTAACCCCTCCCCCTCCGTAATAAATTTTACACATAGCTATTGTGTCAAAATTACACTAGCGCGTTAAGCGTAATCATTTGGAAACCCCCTCGGCTGATTACGTACTTTGTACTTACGTAATATTATGTGAACGACCCCTTTTTATCCCCAAACATTTCGACCAATTAATCTGCCGATCTGGTCCTTAATTTTTGGTCGACACTGGTACAGCGCAAATACAATAAGCGGAATACGAACGTCGAACCTTCCCTGATCTGCACAGGGACTGTAGAAACTCTCCCTCTCCCTCTCTCTCCGTCTCCCTCTCTCTCTCTCTCTCTCTCTCTCTCTCTCTCTCTCTCTCTCTCTCTCTCTCTCTCTCTCTCTCTCTCTCTCTCTCTCTCTCTCTCTCTCTCTCTCTCTCTCTCTCTCTCTCTCTCTCTCAACGGTCAACGGTTTCTGGCCTCCTACTTTAAGAGGGAGGTCTTATCGCCGTGACCACAGCGTGCAACTCCTGCTAGCTGCACTCCAGGACTCCCAAAGTATATAAATAATCATTAAAAAAATATCAATGCAACATATCCCTGGACTCTTGAAGCTGTCGCTACCTGGCTCAGAGCAAACTCACTTCCATTGTAGTTCACCCTGATTTTTTTGTGAAACTTGGTTTGACCAACAAACTAAGACCAGTGACCGAACTTCTGAGGGGGTCCCGGACCCCAACCGCCAAACGGTGCCCGCGGGGCAGCCACGCCCATATTTGGTCCAAATTAGGCCCAATTTAGCCAAATACCCTGAACATACCCAAAATCCAGATTTTAGTGGTCCTTTGAACTCGTATATGAATTTTCATCAAGATTGGACAAAAAATGACTGAGTTATGAGCAAAAACCATATGACCATATTTGGGCATACGCACCAAATTTGATCGATTTTGGCCCATAAATTGGTCAAATATCAATATTTTTGAATGAAACTAACTTTATATGGAAGGTAAGCCTATAATACACATTATC